GACAGACTTATCCTTTGGGTTAGCAGCACAACTCTCTATGGTCTATGCCACCCGAGCTTCTTAAAAAGTTTCTCTAATAAACTCACATTTAAATACTGTCATTATAACCTAAAATACCAGAATGACTACTTATGTGAACTGTATATTAAGTTTGTTTATAAAACAAATAGCATTACCCAAAGTTGCCACAGGAGCTCTAGTAGTGTATTAAAAATTCAAGATACACACAAGGTACTTGATAACAAATGGATACAACTTTGCAAGACACATCAAAAACATTTATTACTAAAATCCTGTATGATTTACAGCCCCTGAAAACTCACTAGAGGGTCAACTGAGTGAGCACACAACTCCTCCGAATAAAAAACATTCCAATTCATAGCAACTCTCCATCATCAGGCTCCCAAAGCTGTGACTAGAAACAAGGGACTGCCCATCTATCCTTGCCTCAGGGAGAGCATCTGGTGGATTCCAACAGCCAGAGACGTGAGGCCTTTGGGGTAGCAGCACAACAAACTATAAACTACACCACCAGATTTCCTTCTCAGCTAACCAGTGCTGCTGTAACAGAATAGCACAGATGGATGGTTTTAACAAATGTGAATTGAGTTTCTCACAGTTTAGCAGGCTGGAAGTCAGAATTCAGAGCACTGGTTCACGGGAAGTCTTTCTCTTGCTACAGACTCTGGAATGAGGCCTTTTCTCTTCCGCTTCCTGGTTCCTTGCAGATATCTATGTGTCCCAGCATCTTTCTTACCCCATCTCAATCTGTGCTCACTTGTTTAGTATCTTTTCTATTTCAAAAGAGACTGACTCAAGATAAATCCTACACTAATTCTGACTGATTAACAAAACGCATCACTCTCAAATGGGAGTATAACCACAGGTAGAGGTTAAGATTTACAACATTTATTTTGGGAAGCATAATCCTATTCATAATAATAACTCTGAAAAGATGGACTATATTGTACTAACAACATGGTAATTGTCAACAATTTTCAAGGCAGAAAAAATACATAATAAAGATGGTCTCTGTAAAATCAGCACAACCTGCACATGTCATTACACACTATAAGCCAATACTACTTGCCTCCTTGGAGGCAAAGATGATAAAGTTTTGTCTCTCGTACTTTAGAAAATGTTACTGGGGTGGCTATTTCTTAGAAAGGGACAATATGCTTGCAAAGGTCAATGAAAAGAGAGGAAGGCCCTCAACCAGATGGATTGGCACAGTGACTGCAGCAATGGGCTCAAGTATGTCAGCGAGTATGAGAATGGTAAAAGATAGGTCAAGGTTCAAAGAGTCACTATGGGTGGTACCTGACTTCAAGGCATCTAACAATATCACAAGCCAAAAGGAAGAGAGCTGGAAACTAAGTGTCCTACACACTAACACAGAATAACTGTATGTTCCTTCTGCCATTCTCTTTTCTAATTGTATTCCCACAAGACAGACCTCAAAATTCTATTTATTCAAGCCCCATCAACCAGTATCCTATGTAGGACACTCTGGTGGCCTAGTGGGTAGGAACTGCACCACCAATCTAAGGGTAAGCAATTTGAATCCAACAGGAAAAAAGACAATCTCCTCACATGCAATTTTTACAGCCTCTGAAAAGTAACTGGAGGGTCAGATATGAGTCAGTTCCAATTCAACAGCAATGAATGAGTTATCTGATGTACAGGAAGCTTGGTGGCATCATCCACAGGACTTGCACTACTAAGCCAAAAGCCAAGTTTCCATAATAGTTCAAATCCAACAGCAGCCCCCCATGAGAAAGATGGACAATTTCTTTACAATTAACAGCGTCAGAAACACAATGGCGGGTCAAGCTATGCATTGGTTCCATCATCATGGGAGTGGTATCTCTAATGAGCAAGTCTCACAGCCTGGTTAACTGTCAAGAACAGCATTTCTTAAGAAACTACCTTTAGTATGCTCGTGACAAAACATGCTGCTGAAAGGCTCCTACACAAAGGGCTGTGGGACAGGCCTTGGCTAGCTAATTGTAAACCAATTACCTCTACAGGGCACAGGCTGAAGAGAATTTTTTAGGGAACAGGCTTGCCTTCACTTTCATGAAGGTCATGCACAACGATATCCTGAATTTTGCTGGCTTTCAAAATCATCTACTTTCCATTCTCCACTCACTATACTGGTTCAGGTGTCATTACTATCTATATGCCTGGATTACTCTTTTTGGCAAAACTTAACAGCCCAGCCACCAACCTCATAAACACATATACATCACACAGCCATACAATCACAACACACTCAAATCCACACCTAGGCCACTCTTAAGATCAACCTACTCTCTCACATTAAAGATAATCATGTTACTCCCTGCTCAAAGTTCTTCAATAGCTCCCTACTGCATTTAAGATAAAAAGGCCAAAGTCCTCAGTTATTACCTATGGGCCCTTCATCACCATGTCATCACACCTCTCCAGCCTCATCCCTAGCTGACTCTCCTTCACAATCTACTGACTGACCCCCACAAACTTGCAGTTCCTCAAATGTATAGTATACTCTCACCTCCAGATTTTACCCACCCTAGAGACAATCATTATTCTAGCCCCATTTCTGCACCTTCACCCTATGGGTATAGACTTGGAGGCATGGAGGGTCACCCTACATGATGCCTTTCCTTCACTCTACCCTAGCTCTGATAGGTGTCCAACCCATGGCATCCTGTACAAGCACAATTTAACTGTCAACTAACTTCTCCACCCTCCCTGCTCTCATAGGATGGAATCAGTGCTTCCCGTGACCACAACTATCACACATGGGTACTCAAATATTTGTTAGATATATTTTTAGTACACATTACGAACAGAATAAGAACTTGACATGTACCACTGTAGAAATATGTTCAAAATCAGTTACAACATGATGGAAACAAAGCAAGTTCACTATGCTTGAAACACAAGATATGAATTATACATGTGCCTAAAAACACCTTAGAAAACAAGCACTTTAGGGAAAGTTCAATCACTATACATTAAAAACTTTCTGTCATTATAGCATCAATGTGTTTATGCTCACTATTGATCAGGGAAACTGTAGTTCAGTTTTTATAAAATCAACAAAAAAGCAGCTCTGGTCATAATATTATAGGTTCAGCAGAGCATTATTAGTGTAGCTCTCCCTCCTGGACACCCCAATCTACTCAGAGCACTGCTGACTAATGGTTAAAAGGCTACTGCATTTCTCAGATTCTAAGCCTTGGTGAAAGTCTTTCAGTAAGAATTCACTCATGATAATGATCCCCAGGATATTAATGTGTTGCCAGGAAACAGACCCTAATATACCCTACGCATTAGTTGCCTCTGGCAGCTACTTTCTTGGGCCACATACCTTCTTTGAGACTTGTGGCACCAGGTTTTTCCAGGGATGTCACAAATACACATGATGGTGCTGAACACTCTGAGGAGTTCACCAACTCCACCCTACACTCCCTTTGTGGCACAGGGAAGTACTTCAGGCTTCTTAAGTCTCAGTATCTCCCTCTACTACTAAAGAGATAATGTCTCCTACATTTTAAGATTCTTCAGGGAATTCTATTGGCCATAAAAGCTTAAGCAGATCACCCAGTTATTTTTAAATCAAAATGAAGAGAAAGTTATAAACCTTCAGGTTTATAACATGAAGACTATAAATTATACTTTTATACCTTACAGTTTTTAGAAATGTCCTAATTTATTTTTTTACTCATTTTCCTTCTATTTGGGAATTTTTTAAGAACAAAAACAGAGATAAGAAAGTAAGAGAGCTTTCTTATCACAATCTTTGATTAACATATTTCACAGAAATCTACATTAAGATCCACTTTATAATCTCTCTCTCCACTCTCAAAATTATAGTCTTAAATTCTACCTCAACTATTCTCAGGACCTGGAACACAGCAAAAATACTTCACTACTTTTCTTAAGAGGTCTTCAAACAGAAATATTCACTTACTTCTTGCCTCTCTACACACCTAAATATTATGAATCTTTAAAAAGCAGTAAAGCAAAAATGAAAAGAAAAAAGGCTAAATCACAACAGTTAGCTTTCAAAGTCTCTCATTTCCTTACTACTGAAGTACAATCATAAGATGTGGAGGCACCTGTTAGAGAGGAGAATCAAGCCATAAAACTCTTTTAAGTGTTATATGGAGAATTCAAACTCTTAACTTTGGAGAGAAAAGTAGATTTCTCAATTCAGTCTTTCCCCTAATTCAGGATGGTGTAGTAGTAATACAGACTGCCAATGTATCGTTTTCCTCAGATAAAGGAGAGGAATTTGAATCAATCAACCAAAACTGGCTCTCACTTCCAAGTCAGACTAACTTGCGGTTGTTTTGTTTAGGGTGGGGGGATGCGTGGCAAGGAAATTTTACAAATCTTCTCAAACATGTTTTATACAAAAATAAGACCTCAAAAGGGTCTTAATAACTTTATCCCAGCCTGATTTCTAGGATCCACTTGGAAAAAAATAAGCGACGTGTGAACAGCTTCCTAAAAGCAAATGGGACACTGGGATATAATTTAGGAAGTGATGATGCAAGTCTCTAGGGGGAGGGGGAGGTGAAAAAGTCAGAGGAAATACCCTCCCAAACGCTGGGCACCAACTCACCCCAAAGGGGAGGAAGGGGGAGAAAGGCTAGCCTCGACATGCCAAGCAAGGGGACAACCCTGCGCCACTGGGAGGTGCCGACACCATCCCTTCCTCTCCTCCCCACTGCCCTGCCCCCTCACCAGTGATCCAGAGGCCCCAGGAGGCCCGAGCCCCAAGTTTGCGAGTCCCAGGAGGTGGCAACGCATCCCGGGCAGGGTCTTCTCTGCCCACCCCAGCCTCCCGTCCAGCACCCCACTCCTGGACGCGGCCCCTGCCCCCTTCCCGCAGGCCCAGCCTGGGCCCAGCCCCCAGGGTCCCGGCCTCCAGGAGCCCCGAGCCAGCCCGGACTTCCCGGGAGCCCGCGCCCCCGGCCCCCGCCCCCACCCGGCCGGGCACTTACCCCCAGAAGCCGCAGGGACAGCGAGGCGGTAGGCTGGGCGCTTTGCTGCGCTCGCTCCCGGCGTCTCCCATAGTGCTCGGCGGCGGCGGAGC